GTGGCCGCGGGTTAAAGGCCCCGGGTGGATACGGTCTGGCCCGGCCTGCGGCGCCGCCGGTGCCCGCAGCCCTTGGGAACGGCTGTTCTGACACTAGCTGGAACTTGTGGAGTTTGCACAGTGCCTTGGCTGCCCCCTCTAATGGTGCCATGGGGGTCGGTGAGCTGAAACACCTCAGAGTTAGTGTGTTTAGATCCAGCAATCCACAGTGTTCTGGTTCAGGGAGTGCAGTATCAATGTTATGGATTTGCTCTGCTTCCTTCTCTCTCTGAGGAGGAGTTTGTGTCATCCTGGTGTAGCAGTAAGAAGTGGTCCTGCATATGAAGAGCTCTTATTTGGGTGCTAGAGTTTTGTCCTCTAATTCACATATGTAGCAGTATGTTGACTGCAAATCCTGTGCACTGATATAAATGCCTTAGTTGGACCTGCCTAGTTTTCATTTAGAACAGAGCCCAGACTGTGCAATTTGGGGAACTTTGCTCTGAGTTGAAAAGCAGAGGTGCAGCTTTACAGCTAGCTCTCAGTGGGCCTTGTTATCTTTGTAATGGTGTCCCTGGCTCGAGAACTGGAGCTACTCGAGCCTAAAACTGCAGTTCATGTGTTTCTGTATAACCCTAACGCGGCTGCATGGTCAGCAGATGAACAAAGATCCCTAATGAAGGGTCATCCTGAACGGAGAGAAATGTGAAAGTAGTTTACTTTGGGATATGTTTTACAGTTTTACTCAGTTAATCTGAAAGAGAAGCATTTAAAATTTGCATCTTTGGCTGCGGAAGGGTAAACTGTCCTGTGCCTCTCTGGATCTTGGGATTAATGGAAGCCTATTTGCAAAAAGCTGGATAAAGACTTTTGACCGAAATATATAGAGATCACATAGGTATGACAGTTCTGTAACTACTTTCCCTGTTTCTGTAAGTGATGCTTCAGTATTTGAAATCTGTAGCAGCTTCAGAGTATTTCTAACCGTTTTTGATACCAGTTTATGGACTGGTAGCTAGCATCCACTGCTAAGCAATTCACAGCTGCGTTCTCTTTATAGACCGCTGTGATGCTTTGCTGGTGGTTAATGCACTAGACAGGGCCTTGGTAGTTCTGAATTTTATTCCCTTTTCTGCCACTGTCTTGCTAGGATGAGCTTGGGGAAGTCACTTTGTCTTATTTTTGCCACCTTCAGGGGATCACTGACTTTCTCTGTAAAATGCTTTAAGATCTACTAACATACAGGACAGTGCAAGACTCACGTGTTCTTATCCTTGGGGCAAGGGGACAGGATGAAACTGGTGAGGTTGGTTGGCCCTTGTTAACACATCAAGGTTCTGCATCCTGCAGGCATCGCTGAATGCAAAGCCTCCCGTCGTTTTAATGCACTTACGTATTTGCACTGACACTTATCTAGAATCAGGGCAAAGATTATTCAAACTGTATGTGCTAGAGACTCGCTGTGATCGTTTTTTCCTTTCACTTTTCCCTGTCAGAAGAGGCGGCTTCATTGTAGCTCGTGTATGAGCGGGGATCCCGAAAGCAGGACTGGCTGTGCTGCACACCGATTCACAGTGCTGCCATTCCTGCCTTTCCCTTTCCCCTCAGTTTTGGGATTGTCGTTTTCTTGAATGGGCTAGAATGAGTGTGGTGATTCTTGCAGGCCTACATAGAAATCAGAAGTCAGTGCCAGATTATCACATGGGAATTCTGGTCGGTGCGAGCGGGACCTGTGCGTGGCTTGGCGGAGATGCTGTGCATTTGCTATAAAAGCACTTTAACACACTTTGGTTCTGCAGCTTTTTGTCTCAGAGTTATTAATGTTGTCTTATCTGAGTACTTACTGGAAATGTTTCTTCAAATGCATTTTCAGTAAGCCTTTCACACTGTTGAAGGGGGGTTACTAGGTTTCACAGAAAATTCCTGTTGTTGACTTGTTGACTTGTTGTCTGTGACATTTCTTTTGCTCAGAGCAGGTTCAGCGTATTGAAAACTGCAATTTCATATGTGAGGATAAAAGGAAACCTGTAAAATACAATGGAGTGATTCTCCTTCCCAGTTTCTTTCACTCAGCATCTATGTAAGGATGCATCACACATCCGCCAGCTGAATTTACGTATTTTATTCATCATTCTGTGAGGGCCCCTGTCCTTCAATGTGGGTGCTGAACCCTCCAGAAGGTCCCTTGTGATTCAGAGAAGCTCTTGCAAACCCCAAGGTGCAGTTTGTGTATAACAATTCACAGCATTGGGGCCTGCTTTTGTTTAAATGTAGGGCATAGAGTTTATTACCTCTTCAAGGTATAATGGCGGAATGTAAATATTTGAATTGATTTATGAGTCAGATGTTATGTACTAGATGGGCTGGAAGCAAAATAAATAGAAACTCATTCATATTGTGGTAGAAAGTCACTGAAAATTGGCTCTGTAGTTCATTGGTTGTTGCCTTAAGGTTAAATAACAAACAAAATTGACATAATATTTGAAGATAACATTTAAAACTTAGAAGGGGGGGGCTTTCCTTGAATTTAAGCCATCTTGTCAAGCTTTTTTTCTAAGCTTGTTTCACTATTCATATTTCATTAAATATATATATTTGGGTTCTTTAAGCAAAAAAATCTGAGGTGAACTCTATTAATCTCAGTATATGATAAGGTGGTCTCTGGTTTGGTCCCTGGTTTGCTTTCTGTGTGTAGTGTGATGCTGGGAACTTTGATCATTTAAACTCCCCCTCCCGTTTTTTTTTTCTTTAAAGAGAATATTATGAGAGGAGGAGTGTTTTATGAGTGACTTAAATTGTAGTGTCAGTGTTCAAGTTGGTTACCTTTCCTTCAGTTATTTGTGGGAAACTTAAAATTTCTCCATTGGCCTGAGTATCCAAAGAATAGGAAAGCACTTATTCAACTTTAAAAGAGGGTTCTTGTGCCCTTTGGCTCATTTCAGCAGGGTTGAGCAGTGTAGTCGGATAAAGGAAGAAACAGACCTAGAGGAGGAAGTGGTTACTATCAAATAATGGCTCCTTTCCTCTATTTTGAGAAAATGACAGAAGTGAGGAAAAAATCCTGTGTCTGTGATCAGTTTGTAAACCAGAAGTACTGTGTAGCAAACTCTTAATAGCTTTAACCTGTGACAGTTGTCTGCCACTGTAAACGATGTTACCCTGATAACTGTACCAGGCAAGAAGAATCACTCCCCAAAATGACTTTGTCGTGCTGGATTTCTGTCCTTAGCCAGCTCATCTATGTTCTCTCTCTCTCTAATCATTTTACATCTCCAGCTCTATATAAGTATTGTTTACTTTGGCAACTAAAAAACAACAACAACAATAAAACTTCAACAATCATTAGATTATTCTGTGTTTTAAGGCATGCAGAAAACACTGAAGTGTTTTGAGCAAACAGTGATTAAGAACCATCAAGAATTTCCTTTTAGATTTTAAAAGAATTAATATACACTCACAAGTATGCACTTCTTTATTAGAAATTCCTTTTTCTAAATCTAAATGTCTAATTTAATCAAGACAAGCTCTGATTCTCAATTGCCAAAAACCTGGGAACACATGCAGCTCTTGGAACAGGACAGTGTGTCCTTATCAGGGGACAGGGCAGATTTGCCTTATCGGGCGGTGTGTATCGGTACTCGCACCTCTTACCACTAGCTTGGAGACTTTGAAGTGCCTCTGGGCAGTCCACGTGGTTTTGGCCTATCTCTCCTCGTGTGTGTGACACTAACAGAGCTGATTTGAAACTTCATGTGGCGTTTGTGCTAAATGGGAGCTGAATTTGTTTGCAACTTTGATACGCTGCTTTCTGATAAATAGTAAAGGTCTAACTCCCTCTGAAAATGAGCGACTTTCAAGCTCAATCATTTTTAGTGGGGATTGGCTTGCATGTCCAAAAAAAAAAAAAAAGGGACTCTGCAAAGGGGCTGCCTTGCCTAACTCTAGAAGTGCTGTATGAGTCCTTTCGGAACGCTCTGAACACTTTAATTTGCTCTACTTTAAATACATAAAGTTACAGGATCTCCTGCCTTTAACTTTTATCACACTGCTTTTTCTGCTTTTTTACAAATACAAAATACCACCTGTACTGTTTTGTTGTCAAAAACCAGCCTGTTGTTACTAAGTGACTGTCTTTCATAGCATAAGCAAAAGTGCTATTTTGTGTTTGCCTGAGGTGAGTTGCTGCTTTTCCACGGTGTGCTGATGAGCAGGGAGTTTGGAAGGGACCATGAGTGCGCTCAGGTAGCACATCCCCAACGGTGGCTGCATGCAGACCTTCTACCCCTGAAACGCTTCACCTCGTTGCTCCGTTCTGTGCAGGTGGCCAAGTCCTTGACCTCTGTGCGTATGAGCAAGTGCCACTTGCCCATGCGGTGCCACCTGGTTTCCCTTGGGCATCATGTGCACGAGCTGTGTTCTCTTTTGCCTTTCATATGAAACTCCACCACTTGCATGGAAATACAGAGCAGACCTGAGAGTGTTTAGGGCTATATTTGGAGCTCCTCCACTGACTGTTACGGAGAAGATCTCCTTTTTAAGTAATGAATGAGTTGATAGTGTTTATCCATTTTAAAGATAATAAAACAGACAAACCTTGTGCCAGCAGAGCAGGGAACAAATGCAAAAAAAAAAAAAAAAAAAAAAAAAAAAAAAAGCTTGTAGATCTAGTAGGGAGCTTTTTTTTTTTTTAGACTGCTGCTGTGCTTGGCTCTGCTCTTAAGCAGCAGGTAAGTTGTATGTGGCTAGAGGCAGCAGCGGGACCCGGACAGCCCATGGTCTTGTGTGAGCTGGTCACCTCATCTCAAGATGCGCTTCCGTGTTCCTCCACTGATGACATTTGTGGTTGAAGTAAAGCGCAAGAACAGCTGTGTAGTGCATGATTGATCATATTACCCACAGACCTTAGAGCAGCTTCTAAAGAAATTAGAAATAAAATCCAGATTGGCCTGGAAGTAGTATTTCATCCAAGTTAGAAATATTTTGTTGTCTATCTTGGCACTTTGTAGTTACCGTTTGTGTTTTGAATGCAGCAAGATGTTCACTAGAATAAGGTGTAACAAATGGAGAGTTTTTTTGAGACTGGGTGTAGTTTGACAGATTTCCTGTATTTGGAAAATGGAAGACTAATCTGTAGAAGCTCCACGTCTCTACCTGGGCATAATAAAATAATGTTTCCATTGGGGGAAAGCATAGCTGTCAGAGTACGGGTTAACCTTACTTCAATTTGCTAAATTTCTTCAACCCCATTTGTGCAGCTGCACAAAAACTTTCTTCAGGAAGAGGAAGCTTCTCTTGGCGAATTGTGCTCTTGGGATAAGGCAGAAATTGGAAGTACTAGGATAGCTTTAAGACATAGCAAAGAAAAACATAATTGCATCTTATGAGCTCCTCTGATCTTATAAAAGACAGTCTAATATTTTAGTAAAGCCTATAGTCTTTTGGCTTTAGTAATGTCACATATTGTAGGTACTAAGTCTCCAACTTCTAGCTTCAAATGTGGATTTCTTTAGTTTATTACTTACAAATTGAAACAAATGAGCATGTACGCTCATAAAGGTAATTCAGAAGGGAATAACATTATTTTGTAATTTTGTGACACACACATAGTTATTTCAGTTATTCAGAATGTACATTGTATCTATTTTGCCCAAATAATGAGAAGCCAAATAAAAACTGTCTACCAAATACAAAATTGTAATATTCATAAGTATAATTTTAAGATGTGAAAATTACAGTGCCCCCTGCTTACCGATGTTCTTCTGCTAGCAGTTCCTGTCCCTTCTGATTTGGTGGGCAATCATTCTCCAGCTTTGTGAGTGATACCTAATCTGCTATAAGCAAAATGAACCAGGCTCGTTCAAGTCAAAGTCTTTGATAAGTGGAGGGAGCACTTGCCTGATCCCCAGTCCCTCGTCTGGGATTGTTGGCACAGATGGAAAAGTGGCCTTTCCCACCACAAGTTCTATAGAATGGCCTGTTTTCATAAGTGTTAGGGTGGTTGTTTTTTTTTGTTTTGTTTTTGTTTTTTGTTTTTTTTTTTTAGCTAGTCTAAACGATCTACAGACATTATTTAAGGGAACTTCTTTATCTTGGGAAGGGTAAAATAAATGTTTATTTTCTGTCATTGCTTCTCAAAATATTCAGCTTCTCCCTGTGTGTTACAATGAAGGTAGTAGAATAAAGGATAGATGCAGGCTCAACAACACAAAGAAGTCGTAGCTAAACACCAGCTTGTGTGTTTTATGTGGTTTAAAGGACATGGAAGGAATGCGGATCGAGTGCCATCTTTCTGTACTTACGGTCTCTGCTTGGTTGTTGTTAAAATTTTAAGGGAAATCACATGTCAGGGATGCAATAAGAATCCAAATAAAATAAAGGTTAAAACAAATCAACATAGAAGTTGCTCAAACAGAATGCATATCCCTCAGCAAGTAAGAAATACTGATGTTTATTGTGGAGCTTCTCCCTGTGTGTTACAATGAAGGTAGTACAATAAAGGATAGATGCAGGCTCAACACAAAGAAGTCGTAGCTAAACACCAGCTTGTGTGTTTTATGTGGTTTAAAGGACATGGAAGGAATGCGGATTGAGTGCCATCTTTCTGTACTTACGGTCTCTGCTTGGTTGTTGTTAAAATTTTAAGGGAAATCACATGTCAGGGATGCAATAAGAATCCAAATAAAATAAAGGTTAAAACAAATCAACATAGAAGTTGCTCAAACAGAATGCATATCCCTCAGCAAGTAAGAAATACTGATGTTTATTGTGGTTTTTTTTTTTTTTTATTAATTTAATGTCAGGGAATTCAGATGCCATAGTGACAGCATAAAATGTATGGTTGGATAAACTGGATAAGTTCTCCAAGTTTTTAGCTATTGCATCTTAACACACCATGACAAATCAATGCAAGTATAAATATACATGGAAAAATTATCAAATAACCTTGGCAAGTGAGTTGTGGTTCCTTTGGCCACTAAGACAAACTGCCATCTTTCATACTGGCAGCCTTGCCATCTTGCTTGCAGAAGCAGTCCTGTTTGTAAAGAGCTCAGGCTGCTGCCAGAAATCATTTGAATGTAGAATCATATGTGTTTTCCTTAGTTTTTGCTGCTTGAAAATATGGTTTATTTCAAGCTATCCTTAGCATTAGCTTTTGCAGAGTTGGTGTAATGCAGAAAGTTTCTCCTGTGCGTTCCCCTCCACCTGTTCCAGCAAAGGATGGAACAACTGTGCGCGTGAAGGGGCGAGTGCGCGATCTAATGGTCAGAGCAGAACAGGCTCTGAGGTTTCAAAAGATGCTCACTCACTGTGCTAGTTATTTGTTGGATGGCTTAAGGTATTATAAAATGATGGCTTTTCTTCTGGAAAGTGTAGCCCATTGAGAACTGAAAGACTTAAACTTAGTCTTCCTTTGTCTGTATGGAAGTCATAAGAGAAAAAGCTAGGCTTTTGGTGAAAGTATTTCATAACAACAAAATTAACGTTTGAGACAGATAATTGTGTGACTAACAGATGCAGTCTGAGATTGAGGAAGATGTAAAAAGTGCACACACAACTGCAAAAAAAAAACCAGAAACCAAAACAAACCTTGCACTAAATCATCAGCTAGATTCTGCTAGAAGCCTGAAAGAAATCGCTTACAACAGTACCGTTCCACCTAGCTGGCATGTGCATTGTGAGATTATTTTGTTTTGTAGCATTTGGCATATCTCGTTGCGTTAAGTGTCCTTGATTATTCACTATTTTGTTATGCCATGACAACTTTAATAGACTAGAAAGCTACTTTCACCTCTTAGGCAGCTGTATTTCTTATGTTTTAGGAGAAAATCATTATTTGTTAGCCAGAACATTTATGATTCCTTTGACATTGCCGCATTCTCTCAATTTTAAAACGATTCACTATGTTTCTTCTGGTTCTCTGATTGCAGGAAAGCCAATATTTTCAGTGGACATTCATCCAGATGGGACCAAGTTTGCAACAGGAGGACAAGGTATGCCTGTGTACTGACAGAATTTTGGCTGTAGTCTGAAGGCAGAATTTTGGACTATAATAATCTTGTGTCCTCACTGCACTTTAATCTTTTTGGCCCCTTTAAAATACATTTCTTATATCATCAAGAAGCAGATAATTACCTAAGTCATTAATATGTCTTGAAAAGTGCTGTTGTTGCTAGAGTAGGCAGGGTCATTGTTTCTGATGTACTTATCCTCCTGAGCATCAGTTGACATAGTAGCTGAGTAGTTAAGATAGTTGAGTTGTAAACATACTGGCCACGTTGCCTTTATATCTGAAGAGGAATGGAATGTGAAGTTGGGTTTTTGAAAAACTGCCTAGTGGAATTATTGGGACAAAAAAAATCCACTTATGCAAATTGAATTGTTCAAGAAATTTAAGCTAAAATATTGTTTGGATTACTACAGTGAATGATTTTTGTATTGAAGTATTCAATTAAGTTTGTTGAATGTCTCTCATTAAACACAATTTGATTATAAATAGTACATTCTTGTAGTTGGCATTGCTGTTAGGTATACTGTGTTATTTCTTTTTTTTCCCTTGAAGTTGGCTGTATAACTTAGTTTTTAATAGTTTCAAGAAAAACACTTCTGAGTACACATAATTGAATCAGAATGGCATCTATTATTAAGTATTTCCAAAGCTCCCACTGCAGTAGTGCCTAAGTGCTACTGTCTGTTCTGAAACGGAGAGTAGTTTGAAAATCTCTTTTGCTTTTTACGTGGCTTTGTTCATCTGCAGGCCAGGATTCTGGGAAAGTTGTGATCTGGAATATGGCTCCTGTCCTGAAAGAGGAAGATGAAAAGAATGAAAATATCCCCAAGATGCTTTGTCAGATGGACAATCACTTAGGTAACATAGGTTCTTTGTACTGACTGTACGTAATTTGCCAAACCTTAAGCACTACATCTGTTTTTAATTACAAAAAATAATGCCCTGTCCAATGGTGAAAGTCAATAAAATATAGCAGAGCACTCTCAGACTCCATCTATTTTTTTAAAATATTCAGCAGAACATGTTGTTAAGCTATGGAAAAATATTTAGAGAAATATAGAAGTATTTCTGGGAATCTCTTCCTTAGGAACCTTTTCAATTGTGTCCACACAACTGAAAATAGTAATTCACCGATAATTCTTTTATTCCTGTTTCTTACAAACTTTCTTTTCTACATTTCAGCTTGTGTGAACTGTGTGCGATGGTCCAACAATGGAGTTTACTTGGCTTCAGGGGGAGATGACAAGCTGATTATGGTGTGGAAAAGAGCTGCGTAAGCATGTTTTTCCCTTTGCAGTTCTGTGTTTTATTCCAGGCAGGTTACTCTGTCAAGTCTGTTACTGTTTCTTCCCTTTGCCAGCCTTTTGCAAGTTACCTGATTCACATTATGCACATGGAGCTGAAATCCATGAGATCCAATTACTGATATTGGAGATTTGTTCTTTTATCCTGTCTCTTGGCCTGCAGTGTCTCTCTGCATGGCAGGTCAAGTTCAGGCATCTTCCTCTGTCCTTGAATAAAGCTTGTCAAAGAGACTTAAAGAGTTATCTTAAATATTACTGTTTTTTATTATCTGTAGACTAATTTTAATAACAAAAATTACTTTCTATAAAAAATAAAATTTTTGCATTTCGATTTTCTACTCAGTTATTTTTGCAATGAAAATAGAAGTGTGCTCTCTTTAGGAAGAAACATCTTGATGAAGAAGTTGGTATGGTTCTATTGATAATTCTCTTGTTCCTATGTTAATTAGGTATATTGGACCCAGTACTGTGTTTGGTTCTAGTAGCAAACTTACTAATGTTGAGCAGTGGAGGTGTGTATCAATTCTCAGAAGCCATTCGGGAGGTAAGTTAAAACGTGCAGAGTGAACCTGATCTGAATGTACTTGTTGCATAATTCTCTTAAAACCTGTACTTTTGGTGGCGAGTTGGTAATAGCTTTTAAGAGCTACTATGGAAATCTATTAGAAAATGTCATTTTCAATCAAATTTCAGTTTTCATACAAGTAACTTATGGCAAACTGTGTATTGGAGAAATGAGTAACTAAAGAATTTCATTCATTATTTGTTAAGTAAAAATGAACCCGAATAAGGTAAACTGCTGTGGGTTTTTTTGTGTTGTTTTGAAATATATGTCCCTAGTTATAGTGGAGAGTCCCCTGGTTGACCAAAACAGTTGTGTAAAGCAAGAAATGTTGGTTTTATTTGGGAAAAAAAAAGTGTAAGTGCAAATACAAAAGGTGAAAAACAAAACACGCCCCCTTGTTAATGTTTACTATGATTAAACCCAAGACTTTTTTCCAGCATCCATGAACTGATGGAAATAAGTTCTTGCAATAGCTGCCGTTGCTTTCACATTTAAAACATAGCAAAAAATATATCTTATACAGGTATACTAGTGCTTTCTATAGTCTCTAAGCGTTGCATTCTCTACCTTGACTTGTTTTTCGTGTGTGTGTTCCCTGTTGTACATTACAAATGGGAGTGTCTTGCTTTCCCAAATTGTCATGTTCTTTCTCTTTCTATAGTGAGACTCTAATGCTTTCTCAGTGATTGGAAATAGCATTGTCACAAATTCTTTTTTAGTAGAATATTGATTCTCTGCCTGCCAACAATGTCTTATATGGAAACATTTGGGTTTTTATACAGATGTCATGGATGTAGCATGGTCTCCTCATGATGCCTGGCTGGCATCGTGCAGTGTGGATAACACTGTTGTCATCTGGAATGCTGTCAAATTTCCAGGTGAGAAATCTTATCCTTTAGATGGGTAGGGGTGGAACTGACAAACTCCTCTTTGTCCTTAACTCCATCTTTTCTCATAGTAACAAATGTTCTCAAGGCTTCCCTTTGGCTGTTTTCTATTATTCTGCAGTGCTGGCAGTTCATACAGTCCCAAGGCCAGGTGCAGCTAGTCAGTCCGTGGGACAGTTTATGTGGCTCCCGAGGTCTGCAGCAGCCGGGAGCATTTGCCCCTGTTTGGCTAGTTCTCTTCACGTGGCCCAGTGCAGGCTCAGGCTCCCATTACATGATACACAGACACCGTGGCTTGTTTTAGGGTTGCTTCCCTTAATACCCAATAATATCAGATATTATTGGTAAATATCAGAGTTGTTATTGTGTCAAGCTATGTAGCCTGTGCAGTGTTCTCAGCCTTTTGTTTAACAGTATGATAAGCAAAAGATTGACTGAAAATAGGTTACCTGGTCTGTCAGGCTTCCCTATCCTTTCAGTCATAACTTAATTCATGTTTGGTGCACAAAGTTAGGCTTGCTGTGATGGTCTTTAGGTCTAAAGGAAAAAATGGAAGTTTAAAGGAAATTCCAATTAAACTGCTGCTTTCCATAGCATGAAAGTGCTCTTCTAGGGTGCCTGGGTTCTGCTAGTCTCACAGCTCTTATCTATTTCTTATATAGGGTTTTGCACTTATTATTCTAGCTAGAGTTTTCTTTATTACGTTTGTGTATCATTCTTAGTTTAAATATGAACTCCAGTTTGGTTGGTGTGTTGATATTTGTATATTTAAAAAGAGGTTATATTTAATATGCTGTTTAAAGAAGATCTATCCTGGAAGAAATACAGCATCCATTCCGTATTTTCAAGGTGTGTTGTTTTTTTTGTTGTGTGTGTGCTCAGAAATTCTTGCCACTTTGAAGGGACATTCTGGCTTGGTTAAAGGACTGACTTGGGATCCTGTAGGAAAATATATTGCCTCTCAAGCTGATGACCGAAGCTTGAAGGTGTGGCGGACCATGGACTGGCAGCTGGAAACAAGCATCACAAAACCTTTTGATGAGGTATGAGCATTTTACAGTAGCCTTTTGAAACTGTGATTACTGGAATTGCTTTTAGTAAGAGATAAAATTCCTGAATTTGTTTATAATTTATATTAAAATCATTTGTTTGCCCTATGCAGACACTTTTAAAGCTGTGCCATGCTTTTGTCTTGTTTTCCAGTGCGGAGGGACAACGCACGTGTTGCGTCTCAGCTGGTCACCTGATGGTCACTATCTTGTTTCTGCTCATGCCATGAATAATTCTGGACCTACTGCTCAGATCATTGAGAGAGATGGATGGAAAACCAACATGGATTTTGTAGGGCATCGGAAGGCAGTTACAGTAGTGGTGAGCGAGCAGTAGTAATTTATCTCTGAAGCAAAATGTTTAAAACGTGCTTTCTGGTAATCTTACACATAAATGGACAATAACTGGAGGTAGGTATAGTATTAGTAAAGGTAACGCATGGTGGTGTTCAAAAACATCATCTTTAATGTTGTGATCAAGTAATCAGCCTGCTCTTGAGGTAAGAAAACCAGATGTAGACGAAAACATTAGCAACACCAGAAACTAACTCAGTTTAGTGACTTGGTTGAAGTGACTTGGGTTTCTGGTGTGTTCCTGTTTGCTAGTAAGAGTAGTATTCTTTAGCTTTTCCTAATAGCTTTAGTAGTATTCCTGTTAAGGCATTTAGAAGGACGTATGAAAGCATATGTCCGTTGTAAAGGCAGGTTTATAGACTTTGCTTCCATGAAATGTCAGTATTTTCACTTCAGAGTATCAAACTTTAAAGTAGATACTCTAATGTAATTACTATAATACATCTTGTGTTATCTTGCTTGTCCAGAAATTCAATCCAAAAATCTTCAAGAAGAAACAAAAGAATGGGAGTTCCACCAAGTCAAGTTGTCCTTACTGCTGTTGTGCTGTTGGTAGCAAGGATCGATCTCTCTCTGTCTGGGTAAACTCTTTTTTCCTGCTTTCTTTCACTAATGTGGTCATTTGGATAGCTTGAATGTTTAGCACAAAGGTCATGTGTACAGCATTAGAGTCTTATAATTAGATTCAGGTTTAGTTTTTTATTCTCTCTGGTATTAGCGGATTAGCTGGGGGAAGTGGGTTGGCATTAATTCATTTCAGGAATTCAGCATTCTAGAGGCAAAGAGCAGCTAGAACATGATGACAGGGTAAGCTGCCCTGGTTGTGATGCAGCCAGGAGAGTAATGCATTGCTGCAGCCAATAAACATAGTTTAGCCCAGTTTTCTTCCTTTTACCCATTTTCCTTGTGAGTATAAAAAGAAAAAGTTTTTATTGTTATTCCATGTTTAGCCCGCCTATACTATGATAATTCTTAGAGACAAACTTTGTCACCCTTCCTCTTATAGGTAGGAGAGTAATATAGCAGGCACGGCTTAGCTCTTTCTATGTATATACATGCCTCATCTGCCTGCTTTACGTGGCTTCTGCCTTCACTTTGGAAATGACTGTGAAAGAGAGTGAGCTTTTAAAATATGCTTTCAAGTTTTCGGTATACATGAAATCTTTTAGTCTACACTAAAATTGTATTTTGTCTGAGGAAAGATTAGCTATTCTTGCATTTACAGCTGCAAGATTGGTTGTTTGGTGATTACAAAGAGGGGGAAATCAGTTCAACTGATTGTAGTGCTTTGTGATGAGAGCCTATGCCAAAACACACCAATTGCTAACTATGGTCTACTATTTATAGATTCAAGTGTGATATTTATCCATCAATCACTAAATGCATAACACTAAATCTGTTTCTGGCAATGCTACCAGTGCATACTCACATCAAAGTATCATTCTAAGTATATTTTGCTTTCTGTTTATACTGTGATTTCATGTAGAGTGCCTGTTGAGGTTAGACTAGGTATTGTGGAGATGCAAATCAGGGCAATCTTTAAGAAGACTTGAGAACTAAAGATATATAAGTATGCAACACAGTTCTGTAACTGAAACATAAAAGAAATAACAACTGGAAACCATGCACTTCTGGGTACCCACGAACGTGAAACGTCCCTGACCACATGGACCTCTCCTGCTCCATTTTACTTGTACTGTACTTAATAGCACTGTAGCTACAAAGTCCATTGCTTTAATATTAGCTTACATGACCTCACATTTAGAGCAAATTATTGGGAATTTCCATACTCAGTTCTCTATTACTAAGGTGATCTATCAGTGTGGAGGAGTACTTTTAAAAAATAAGTGAGTTAATTTCCTTTTGCTGTTGACTGGCTTCTGTGGAGTGGAGGAGTAGCCTAAATGAGGGTGTGGAATCCAAATCAGTGTTCTCTCTCTCTTGTGCTGGCAGTTTGCAACATCCTTAATTCAATAAAGCTTAGAATAGAAGCTGCCTTTAGCATTTATGAAATTGCTTTTTGACTGGTAGAGTTGTATGAATGCAGTGCAAAAGGCTAGGTTCGTTAATAAATTCAGTCTGTGTTTCAGAAGGAGGCAAGAGTTGAGTATCAGCCATGCTTCTTCAAAGCTTTTCTGTTCTAGTCATAGAATTGCTAACTTCTACGTTTCTGAGTTCTATTTCTTCTATTTTAAGCTCACGTGTTTGAAACGACCTTTAGTCGTCATACATGAACTGTTTGACAAGTCTATCATGGACATCTCCTGGTAAGTGCTGCTGTGTGTATGTGTTAAAGCCAAAATGTTATTGACAGCTTTAGTTATATAAATTAACTGGAAATTCCTTAAATGGTACAGATGAGAGCTGCTTGAACCCAAACACTTCTGCAGTTTCTGATTTTGCTGCAACATCTTTTGTAGTGACGTTACTAATATGCAATCACTTCCACTGAGCTCGTTTAGAATTAGAGCTAAATCAAAGCTGATGAATTTAACATATGATACAATAAAATACCTGTGGAATGACTCCTGTTTAAGACTATATATTAAAAAATTGGTATGGAAGGTGTATCTCATTTAAAAACTCAGGCCCACAGTGTCATGTTATGTGCGTTATGTCTTTGAAAAGTTACTACATGGCAGACTTACGGAAATTCAGACTGATCCTTCAAGGCCAAGCTTTCCTTCCTGCTTAAGGATACAAGTTATCTTGTATCCAAAGAGGAAAAAAGTATGTGTGGTGGGTGGGTAGGCAGGTGTGTGGGTTTTTTTGTTGTTGTTTTTTTTCTCCTTATTTTTCTATTTCCCCTCCCCCCCTTCCCTCACACAAGCACATAAACACAGAGAAGCTGGTGGAGTATTTCCATGTATTAAAAAAAAAAAAGTAAATGTAATTACTCTGATCATTTGAGAAGAATGTGTTTACACGCTGGTATTGCAGTGCCTCATGAAGGATGCAGACTGCACTGTAGTAAAGAGAAGCTGAGGTTGTTCAGGTAGCAATGTTTCCAATTAGCTCTTCCAGTTTATATCCTCCAGGTTCTCCTGTCTGCCACAGCAGTCGAGCTGCATCTTCCTTCTTCCTTCCTCAAGGACTGCACTCCTTTCTCTCTCCAGAGTGTGAAGCCTGAATTTAAACCTGCCCTCTGTCCACAAACAAACAAAAGAACAAAACCCACGAAACAAAAAACTCACACATGCCAAAGATAAACCAAGACTGGAGCAAGATGGAGGGACGAGGGTGTGGGGTGAATACAGCTTGGCACAAGAAGCGCTGAAGGGAGGAGGACAGGCTCTTTGAGGACAAGATATAAGGGAACTACACTAGAGAAATAGCATCCCATTAGTGGGGTCTGCCTCACTAACTAAACTAACTAAAACAAAAACACCTACTCTTAAAAGAATAAAAATAATAACAAAAAAAGCAGTGGCTCTTTATTCCCTGTGAGCTTTGAATAAAAAGTGACAAATACCTGAAACCGCTCACCCAATAAATGATAAAGAGAAATATTTTATGTCCATACATCGGGTAATTTAGAGCTAGAGGTTCTGAGGAAGAAAAGAGTAATAACTTTCTCATAATATGCACACAGCTGGTTGCACAGTTGGTCTTGATTCTAGCACTTCTTAACTTTTGAAACAATACCTGCACAGCTATTACTGTCTTGGGGTTTTGTGCTGTAAATGTTAAAGCTTACAGACGTGTAGCGTCTTGTTTTCTCTGTGCCCCAGACATTTTATATGGAGCTTAATAAAGCACTTGTAAGAGCTTTTCAAAACATTTTACTTTCATTAATAAATTAAGGCTTAAAAGTCAACAAGTGGAATATTTCATGAGAGCTGTTGTTGTAGTACAATAGCTTTGAGTAGTTTTGTTTTCCTGTAGTTTTCCTTAATTCCTCATCTGCAAATTGCACACTTTTCATGGCATAGTCATTGGGAATAATAGCTGGTTAACAGTTTATGTGTTTGTGGGATATTTTGGAGAGACAAAAGATCTTCTGGAGCTTGTTATTTTATATCCTGTTTACAAATTCAAATGTATGGCTAAAGTAATATGCAGTGTTCCAGAAGCATGTTCCAGTCCTTCCCCAATTCTAAAACTGGACCAAATAAATTTGGAGAAACTTAATACTTAAAATAGTTATAGCTGTCGGTTTCTATTTCAGTTTCAGACTTGCATCCATCATTAAAGTTCCTGCTCTCCTTTATGTGCCATTGACCTCTAGATCCAAGCAATTATTATATGACAACTTCTTGGCACTTCTACATGCAAAGCTAGCAGAAAACTCCTCAACAAGATTTTTTACACTTTTCGAAGTGGTAGTATTGGTGGTTAACCTAATTACACAATGTTGAGGCTAGTTCCTCTGAATGTGATACAGTCAGGACAACCACCACCACCACCACACACATATACACACACACACACACACAAAAAGCTGTTTTCAAACACCTCCAGATGAATCTATATATTATATTTCTAATCCTTACAGGGCTGATTCTGCCTACTGTCTTTTCCTCTTCTGTTCTCCATAACAAGTCATGGATAAACCAGCCCTGTCCCTGTCTCTCCAAGCTCTGTGACACCAGCTGCTGGATTAACAGTCAAAAACTCCTCATTGATAGTTTTTGTTTTTTGTGGGGGAGTGCCTTTTTTTTAATGTTCTGTTAAGGCTGCAATGTATAGTTCCTGCCATTGTCCTATTTCTGTCCAAGAAAACCTTTGAGATCTCCAGAAGAGTGATTATAACATATCTCCAAATGCAAACGCACATGCATTTTGCTTAAAAACCATGAATGACACAATCAAATCTTGCTTTCTTTTCATTGCTGTCATTTCAGATAATTATGATAAAGAAGAGTTATTTTAGCCAACATACAGGTTCTCTTAGTCTCTTCCCCTCTTTTTTCCTGTCTTGTTTATTTTAAATACTAAGCTCCATGTAGGTATGGGCTATCTGTTATTTATTTCTCAGGCATGATGAAGCTGCATCTTCCGTGGGCCTCTAGCTACTGTCCCAACATTGTAATTCCAAGGTTTAACAAAGCGTGGATCTATTGCTTAGCTGCTGAAGGCCCTTTTCTTTACATAAAAAACGTCTTTAAAACACTAATTGTTCAAACAGCTTCTACAGCAAGCGTATTTATCTTTCCTTGTTTATGGTGAGCAGTTTGCTTTATATTCTGTTCCACCTCTACAGAAAAGTTTTTGTAGTACTGATCATGTCGGGGTAGGTGTGTTGTTCTCCAGCCACCTTGCTGAGTGCCCTCTCAGATTTGCCACCTCTGGAACCCAAGGTCCTGCTGTCCATCACTTTCTCCTTGCTGTCCCATTTCTCTGGTTCCATCACTAGTTGCTGTGTTAATAAATCTTATGCTTCATGTATTTATTTTTTATTGTTTATTGGATTGCCCTTTAGCATCAATTAAAAAAAATAAAAACAAAATCTTTATTTCCTTTAGGACCCTTAATGGACTTGGTATCTTAGTATGTTCCATGGATGGATCAGTGGCATTTTTGGACTTTTCACAAGATGAACTTGGAGATCCACTCAGTGAGGAGGAAAAGGTACACTAATCACTCAAAGATTCTATGATAGTCCACATACAATGTATTGATTCATTAAAACATTGATTTATATTTATTATATAATATATATTATATATATATATTTAATGTAATATATATAATAATATA